TCAAGATAGGGATTCTTCATTATACGTCCAACTAGTAAGCTGTGACAGTAATTAATTACTAGGAGCTTTGTTAATTAATAAAACCAGATCAAGATAGGGATTCTTCATTATACGTCCTACTAGTAAGCTGTGACAGTAATTAATTACTAGGAGCTTTGTTAATTAATAAAACCAGATCAAGATATGAATTCTTCATTATACGTCCTACTAGTAAGCTGTGACAGTAATTAATTACTAGGAGCTTCATTAACAGTAACAACGATGATGATCTGTTAAATGTACTCGTAATTGTAGAAGTCCTTCGAGCTCTAAAACAATGACGAATTAATTATAAACATTATTTTATAATGATAGTTGCGCAGGTAACGTAATACAAGTAAAGTCTAAATTATAAAATTTTATTTCAAGTGTCCCAGTAACGATCTGCTAGTTATAACAGTAATGACTTCCAAGACTTGTGAAAAGTTCTCACAATGACGTCCCACTAACTAGACATCATGCTAGCTCAACAGTGATGACCCACAACACTAGAGAAATAGTCAGTTTGTCACGCTGCTTCGTTTCCTGTAGCGATGCTACTGAAATCGATCAATCTGCAGTAAACTCTTCAAAGAACTGCAGAGAAAGCTGTTCTGTAGTTCACAAAACTCCCGCAGTAAGGCTGCTTGGCCAAGCTTTTTCAGCAACCTACGGGAACTTAACATCATATTAAGAGAAAGATTTATTGAAATTTTTGTTTTGTTTTTTTACAATTTTGTCCATTGTTCTCTGTTTACTTATTCAGATTTTTACAAAACAACTATCGTACGATATATTTTAAATATGTTTTGTTATTAACTTTGCCTACAATTATAACAATTTTATTATTAGGAAAACAGTTAAGGTTTTTTAGTAAATATATGTATAGTGTCGAACGTACTATGTAAGTCAAAAACTATTTGAGTAACATCTGGTTAGAATGTATCATTTATTCATTTTTTTATACCTTCGTATGTTATTTTTTTTATAGAGACGTTTTAAATAGTAATCTTCATATAATCAATGATGACTTTTCCTACAGTGCATATGTTATCGAGGACTATCCAAGGAACGTATATTAGTGAGGGAGGAGGTTTCGACTATGACCAGTCTTGGATTTGTGCAATGTAAGTATATATACCAGTGTTGACTGTTTCCATTTGTTCCGTAAACATTTTTTTTTATCACAGTAAATTAATTAGTGTAACAGTGTAATTATTTGTTAATATCTTATTCACTTATTATAACCAAACCTGATTTTAGGTTTAAATAAAAATCTTATTTTTTGTTTAAGTACTGTTAAGTACTATATATAGAACACAGTCATACTATTGACCACTTTATAAGATTCAATCATGATGTTGAACACTGTGCTGATCATTAAAATAAACAGACTCGGTGCTGAGCCCTGTTGAACAATTGATGATGAGAGCTGTCGAATACTTTTCAGGATACAAACATACTGTTGAACATAATTATAGGACACAGAAATGGTGTTGTGTGCTGTCGAATAACTTACAGGATACAAACATACTGTCGAACATAATTATAGGACACAGGAATGGTGTTGTGTGCTGTCGAATAACTTACAGGATACAAACATACTGTTGAACATAATTATAGGACGCAGGAATGGTGTTGTGTGCTGTCGAATAACTTACAGGATACAAACATACTGTTGAACATAAT